GTCAGAACCTGAAGGACCCAGTGACGGCGCCTTCAACCATGGCAGATGTTCCGCCAGTGTGTCTAGGCCTGAGAGATTGGATCAACGAGCTCCATTCTTACAGGCATGGCGTGGAGGAGGAGAAACCATGGCCCCTTGGGAAGGGTGGCTCCTTTCTTGATATCGTTCAGAAGTGCTTCCAGCATAACAACGAACGGTTGCTCACTGACAGCCTCACCTTCGCCAAGACCATTGGGATGGTCGGCAGGGATGCAGATATGGACACCTTTGCCCAAAAGTTTCTGGTGAAGAAGGCCCATCGGAAGCTTTAGAAAATTCGCAGCGCGCTGCAAGATCTCTGTTCACAATGAGGAAAACCAGTCATTTCTTTTTTTTCATCTATAACACCTTTTTAATGGACTGGTCCTGGGCGACCAACCTAACAGCCTTCGCTGAGTTAGCTCATCCCCATCTTGCTCTTTCCTGCCATCGTCCATCCATCCCTCCATCCATCCATCCATCCATCTCTTGCTCTTCCTTCCCATCCTTCAATGCATCCATCCATCCTTGCCATCATTCAATCTGTCCTCCCTGCCTTTCTTTGAGTCATTTAGTGACATTCATTTATGTCCTGTCCAGTCCAGGGCCACTATTGTTATGATTATTCAGTCCAGTCACCAGTCTATTATTATTCCATTTGCTTCCCACTTGGTCAAGCTCCATGTCCATTCCCACTTAATCCTGTGTGATTCGTCCGTCCATCCATCCATCCATCCATCCACCTGATACAAACCAATCAAATCCATCCAAAGCCAACCCCTTGATTGAAAGGACTTTCCACCTACCGCTGGTTCTTGCACTACGACCAGCATCTTACATTGGGGATTCCAAGATGAGTCATTCTGGAGGGCACCGGACTCTGCCACAGTGCTGGACATTGCAAAATCAATTGCTTTGACTGGCTGGCGGGAGGCGCGGGTAATGGAGTGTGGGAGAGGAATGTCTCGCCGCTTTGGGGGGCCTCTGTCAGCCCTCCAGAGTGGAGAGCTCTTCTCAGAAGAGCTCACCGCCTTCTAATGCTTGGCCCTTACTTAGGCAAATCTAGGTAATACCACCATTCATACCAATCAATAATAATGACTAGTGACTGCTACTCCAGCAAAGGGAGGGGGGTGGAGAGCTCTTCTCAGAAGAGATCGCCGCTTTGGGGGCTCCATAGGCCACTCCAGAGTGGAGAGCTATTGGTCAACCGGACTTGGACCAAGGTCAGCCACCAAGATTTTGAAACCGGAACTAACAGAGGGGGGGTGGAGAGCTCTTCTGAGAAGAGCTCGCCGCCCCCCCCGAAAGGGGATTGCTCGCCGCCCCTGGAATGAAGGGAATCCCTCGCCGCCCCCTTCAGGGAGATTGCTCGCCGCCCCTGAGATGAAGAGAATCCCTCGCCGCCCCCCTTCAGGGAGATTGCTCGCCGCCCCTCAAATTAAGAGAATCCCTCGCCGCCCCCTAAAACAATTTTCACCACCCACCAACCGTTTGCAACCCATATTTTGGTTTTCCATTAGCTTCATTCACCCGCTTCATGGTTGCAGGGGGGAGTTTCTTGGTATCCGCATGCCAATGGACGAAGACACCCAGATGGAGACCGATGAGGGGAGCTGGCGACTTGGAGAACTCATGTTTGATGATGGTGGAATGCGCGGGGTTGCCGCTGCGGTGGTTTGGCTAGGGTTGGTCTACAAATGCTCCACTGAGAAGACGGAGGATTTGACGCATCCCAGGGTGCTCAGCCTAGCTAGAAGTTTGATGCAGGTTCCTACCATGAGGAAAACACAAACAGGAGATATGGCCACGGAGCAGATCCGAAGGATCATCCGCCAAAACGTTGAGTCAAAGAAGCTTCCTGTGAGCAGCTTCGAGTGGGCGGAGATCTTGCGCTGCATGAACAAGCAGGGTCGCCCAATCACGGTGAATGAAGCTATAGACCTGTACAATACAAGTCCAGAGGTAGCTGCTCACGGAGGAACATCAGCGAAGGAACCAAGTAGATAAATTGAACTTTGTTTAAAGTTTTTAGTAGTCAATCTTTTAACAGAATGTGTCATGAAAAGAAACTTCCCTCAAGTGCACTTGGCATCCCACATTGTGCTGCAGGACCGCACCGGCTCGGGCTCTTTGGTTATAGACTCAAAGAAAATGTTCGGCATCAAACATTGGATTGAACTCACAGGTGACCATGCGAGAGAACAAGTCTGCCTGTCCCTGAAAGACGGCCCCTTTGCCTATGGACCTTGGGGTGAAGGCCTCTCCGTGCTGAAACCCTTGTTCTTGAAGTCGGTGGTCAACTTGACTAGCATTCCCCAATCAGCAGCGAGCCTGGTTCCTTTGGATGGTGAAGCTACGATCAATTTGGATTGGGCTCTTCCTATGGATGCTTACTGTCAGGGGGGTGCTTTTCCAAAGAATCCGGCTGCACTTCGAGAAATCCACAGCTATCGTTGATGAATCCCAGCACCGTGCCAAATACCGGATGAACGAGTCAGACCTGATGCACCTCCGAAACTTGGTTTGTGTATGGGGGCAGGTTCGTGAGTTCTTGTCAACAAGGGCTCCCAATTTCTCTGAGTTGGACTCCGCGTTGGTGAAGGGCAACACTCTGGACCATGAATTTGCTCAAGTTCTCGAGCAACGACCAGCTCAGTTTGCAGCTTCATTCTTGCCAAGTGCTCAACAGGCTGCAGTTGAGAACATTAAAAAAACATGAAGAAGTTGTGACATTGGAGGTCCAAAAGCAAAGGCAAGAACTCCGGGATGCAAAATGGCGCTACTTCCAGGCAGCTCTCCAACGTGACCAGGAGATCCTGCAAACTGTCCAGGCGGCGCCCAAGCGCTTGGATGCTCTACGCCATCGCAAACAAATGGCTTGGAGAGTTGAGCAATCACAGATTGGGGAACGCATCGTGAAGGGTTACCTTGAGAAGCATCTTCGGTGTGATTTGGTGGAGAAGGTTGAGCACGGCCAGTTGAAGGTCAACGAGTTCAGATCTTTCGTAGTACCTGGATATGATTTAGAAATTGTTGACTTTAGGACTTCGGACCTACTAACAAGTTTTACCGAAGGCGGGTGAAGGTGGTGATGATGATGATGATTAAATTAATCTAAACTTTTCATGATTGTGATGGTCCAGGGATGTCCAGGGGTATTTGGGCCCAGCCAGGGTGTCTGCTCCAACTTGATCCTGTGAACCCTGCCAAGTAGATAAGGCATCTACGTGCAGCTGCCGTGAAATGGATGTGCACATGATTACGATCATTGATTTGAATGTTCCCCTGGCAAAATCCAAAGAGCGCATGGAAGAGTTGTGTGGCCTTCTTCAGTTCGTGAACGATCTCAACCCTGGTCGCCACGTCGGAGTGATTGAGCTGCCCGAATGGGCCAAGAAATCATCGAAGAGAGGACTCAGTGATGAGGAACGCGACCTGGAGCAGGTTCTTTGGGGACTACGTCAAACCTGCGACTGTCGATGGGTGATACCATTCGACATTCACCCGTCCGCCGATGCACAGACCATAAGAAGGTACAGGGCTGCCAAAAAAAGGTACAGGGTCTAGTTGGAATTTTAAATTCTCTGCGTGGTCAGCCTGTTTGACAAACCCTGTAACGAAAGTCCATCAGAATCCATTCTAGTGGCCCCCCGTGACCTGGGTTTCTACTATTCACCTCTGGGTTTAGCTGAGGCGATTCTCCTCGGGAAGGCTGGTGGTGAGCAAAGACTTCGAGGGCGAGAACCCATGGATCAACAACAGTGAGTTCGGCCTGGCCGGCAGACCGTTGTCGGAGGAGAAAATTCTTCTACCACTATCTCGAGAACTTTTACTCCCTGAAAGCCTGGACCCAGACTCTGACCTTAGATTTGCAGAACGTGCTCGCCCATCAGTTGAGGCCACTTCGGCACAAAAAGGGCAACATCGTTGGCTGACCATGTTGAGGAGCCTACTGACCATGTCGAGCGGATACAGCTTGAAGAAGAAACCAGTGATCGTCATTAATTTGACCTCCTACGTTGAAGATGTGGGAGTATCTGCTACTTGTCTTTGTTTTGCGCAGGGCTGGTGTGTTGATCAAAGGGCAGGGGAAAGGATATTCATAATTAGTAGGAACCATGCATTGTAAGTTTCGTGGTTCAAACAACAGGGGTGCGAAGGGGCTGGCATGAATATCACTGCCAAGTCCATTCCCTGGCCCATGCTGTGTCCAGCGGACAGTTTCTTTCGGAGTGCAAAGTTAGGAGGGATTGTGCCATGGCATGATGATGATGATGATGATGATGGCAGTTCTGGAGATGACAAGCCAAAACGTCCCAAGATTGAGATAGCCACCCGACCTACCTGGGAGATTGACGCTGACACTTACCCAGATGAGAAGAACCCTTACACCCCTTTGCCAACCAAGTGGCATACATCGCTGTCAGCCACTTTGGGCTTTTCAGTTCATGTGAAACCACCATCAACGACCGCTGGAAAAATTTTGCTGCACTGCAAGGCCAGGAAACAAACAAAGCATCAAGTTCAAGTAAGTTTAATAAAAGCTACCAACTTTCAATTTCCACATCGCATCCCATCACCACCCAAAAAACACCAACACACAGGAGCAAATCCATCAAGTTCGTCTCAAATATGGAGGAGAACAACTAGCTGTCTTCAAGATTGGCATCACACAATCTTTGGAACTTCGAGCCCAATACTACTTCGAGGGAAACTTTCGTGAGATGCGTTGCATTCATGCCAGTCATTCACTGGCGCAAATAGAAACATTGGAAGCCTGTCTCATTGATTACTTCAAAGAGAAGGCCCCAGTACAGTGCCGCAACATCTTAGCCGGGGGTGAAGGCATGCGATATAAGAATGGAAAACCTAGAAATCCTCCACCTTTTTTTTTTGTATGTTGTTGCCGCCAATGCTTCACAAGCGAAGCGTATTGCAGGCTAATTCAGTTGACAGCGATTAAAGAAGTTGGTTCATTTAATGTTTGAGTTTATCAACTCATCATAATTCGGCAGCAAAAGACAACAGCAGGAAATGGGACAAAAGCAAGCAGCGAGAAGGGTTGGGAACATTCAAGGTCTGGGTCCCTAAATTAAGTAAAAGGCACTCCATGGTGATCAACAATTGGGTAATAACAATTTCATTTGTTTGTATTTTGTATGCGGGAGGTGTTGGCCCCCCCAATTTGTTTCACTGCATGTTGAGGCTTTTCAACTTCGGGAATTGCATGAGGAGCTCAAGGGTGGATTCAACACGGAGCAGCTCTTTTACCAAAGCATTTGGTGGCTCAACAAGGACCAGTTTGGAGCAGCGAGACTCACTCGGGAGGTGGTCGACTCATGGCTATCAGGGAAGCTGGAGTTCGCAGGCCAACGCATCAACCTCAATGCACCAGATCTCACTCAGGATGAAATCTCATCAGTTCCAGGAGGTGCAGCCGCCATGAGCAGCCTCGATACCTTGCAGTTCGAGGTCCTCGAACGAGTTGGAGGCAAAATGGTGATCAAGTCGGACGAACACCGTTTCTGGACAACCCAGGGAGGAAGCATCACAGAGGATTATCAAAGCCTCCGAGAAAAGCACCTTGCATTGATAGGATCTGCTGGAGCTGATGCAGCTACCAGGCAAGTCGTGGAGGCTTCGGAAGAGCAGGAACAACCTGAGCCCCTGCCATCTACATCAGAGAATGAGGAGAAAGAGTCCTTGGCAAAGCTCGAAGAATCACCAGGCCTGGAATTGAAGGTCGCTTCTGAAATCAGCGGTGTGGACTTGATCCTTGGGAAAGACAAATCTTTGTGGCTTTATTCGTCATCCGCCGACAAGATGATAGGCAAGCATGTCCAGATCGGCGGCTTCGGGACTGGCCAATACGTGCCTGCTGAAGGTGAAGAAGGGCTTGAGTTCAAGCTGCCCCAGGGTGACAAGACATTGATTCAGTTGGACGAAACTTCATGGAAGCAGGATGGCTCTGGAACCTCGGTGATTTCCCTATTCAAACTCTTGCTGATGTGTGAAAATGAGAAGAACATCACCGACCACAAGATCTCCTACCTGAACGTCAAGAGGAAGGATGATGCCAACCTTGAGAGCGGCATGGACGGATTCGAAGTCTCCTACAAAAAACCATATGCGCTTCAAGTGCGTGACCCCTGACAAGCTGAGTGGCAAGAACTTTTTCTGTAAAGTCATTGGGAAGGCTAGCGAGTTCCAGCAGTTGATTCCAGTCTTCCGATTTCGGTTTGAGCGAATTGGGGCCACGCTGAAGCTGCAAAAGCCCCATATAGTTACCAAGTGTTCGCTGCAGTTGAAAGCGGGGAAGCCTATGAAAATCAACTAGTTGGTTTAGGGTTTGACCTCTTCAGTTTTGGGTGGATCTAATCAACACTGTGTGAAACCAACCCCCCCGAGACCTGTTTACCCTGCGGATGTTTTCTTGATTAATTGCTTTGTTGATTCTGCTTTTATTTTGAACAACTGGTGTTTTGGCTGACCCGCTGGAACGGAGTGCCAGCACACGGGCCGTGGAGCATATCCACCTGTTCGTTGCAAGCTCTTCTCCAAAGAGATGTCAATTTCAATTAATTGTTATTATCAAATTATCAACCTTATTGTTCATTGTTTCCATTTGGATTCGTTATGACATGTTATGATATTCACATTGAACTTTGTAGATTGGAATCTTTTGAGAAACTTCGCGGGGTGTGAGAAGCAAGGCTAGCAACAACATAGAACGGACTGTGCTATTTTGATTTGCCGGCTAGTGAAGCAGTGGAAACAATGCAGCATTCTTGCCGCGCCATAGCAGCAGCTTTCCAACAGATTTTAGTCGGCGGGCAGAGTGGCTGTCAAGCTCCATCATCATCATAGTGTGAAGCATCTGGCTGTGAAGCAACTTAGAGATAGATGTTCCATCATCATTCTAGCAACGTGGCTCAGGTAGAACCGGGTGTAGCTTGTCGCCCATCCAATTGTTGCGACCAATGCCTTTGATGTACACGGATGTGCTGGTGATGTGGCAGGGCTTGCATTTCCTGCATGGCATGTCAGGGATGTACGAGAAGTCCTCCTTTGGCCATGAATGCGTCCGAGAGTTTTTGATGCGCTTTCGGAGCTTGCCGGTGATTGCTCAGGACCAGAATGACATGGCTGTCATCATGGAGATGATCCTTTTGTTGACAGTCCTCAGCAACATGACCTTCAAGGCTGCCATGGATGGCGATGACCGCATCTCCCAGTTGTCGACGTGGATTGCCGATGCACATGACATTGTGGGTCCCCCAGAAACATGGGCACATCTACAGAGCGTCATCGTAGCAGATCCAGAACATTTTCGCCTCATGTTGAGTAAAGCTCAAGATGAGATGAACCATCTCAAAGCTGAGTGCAATACAGGCCTGCCATATGTGCACAATTTGCTCGGACAAGCCGAGCTCGTTTTGGTCAAGATTAAAATGGCAATTCATCCTTTGCTGTAGATGGCAGCAGGAATTTTGCATATGGGATTTGAAAAGGAACCAGTGTGCAGCAATCTGTTTGCATTTAGAGGGGTGAAGCTGTGAGTGAGGCATGGCACATGGAAGACACCAGCTCGAAAGAAACATGTCAATTTATTGCTGGTGCCAGATGCGGAACTAGATGAAGGTTTTGTTAGTATTTAGAACATCTCAATTTGATAGTAGCAATGTATGTGTCATCTCAATTTAGAAGTTGCAAAGGGATGTCAATTGCAAATTTTGAGCTTGCCCAAAGCTGATCGGTTCGAGGTTATTTAGCCCGGCAATTTGTTGCAATGTCATTCATGGCTTCAGGTGTCTTTGACATCCAAGGTCATATTTTGCGAAGTTCTCAGATGCAACCTGCCACAGGAGTGAGTCCGAAGACAACATTGGCTACGGCTACTTCACCTCAAGGCACACCTTCCGCTTCACCTGGCAACCCGAGCGGTCTTGAGCAGTCTCCATCTCCAGAAGCTCTGCCAGAAGGAAGGGGTCGCGCAAGGGGTCGTGGGCAAGATCGCGGGCGTGGTCGTGGTGGGCAAGCTCGCGGGCGTGGCCGTGGGCGAGGTCGTCAGCAGGCTGTAAAGTCAGAAGGGCATGCAGGTCATGAGGGCTTCTCGACAGCAAGCTTAGCAAACAGAAAAACAACTTACTAAAAACGGTAGCTATTCTGCAATGTTGAACTCATTGGCTCTAGTTGCTGGTCTGGTGTGAATGCATCTAGAGTTGGTTCTGATTAGAGTATTCAGTACCAAAGATTGTCATGTATTATTATGAAATTTTACAGCTTTGACTGGGGATCATGCCCAAGGTAGTACGATTGTGCACAAAATGAAGCGACCAGCAGCAGCAAACAAGAGGGTGGCGGAGGAGAAAAAAGACGGACAATAAGCATGACAAGAGTGACGCACCACATGAGGAGGAAAGCGGTGCGCAGGGGCCTAAGCGTAAGAGTTCAACGAAGGCACGTACGCTGCCACTTCTTCGAATGAAGAGGCCTGCTTCTATGATGGAGGGAATCATGGCAGCAGCACGGGTGCGGAGTGAGAATGAGAGGGAAGTTTTTCAGTCGCCTTTGATTTTGAAGGGCGAGAAGAAAGATTCCCCAGTGGATGATGATGATGATGCTGAAACGGAGGCATCGGGGAACAAAACCTTTAAAAAGCCGGCTGTACAGAAAGCAGTACAGAAAGCAAACCCGTCCACAAATTTTGAATCGGAGGAAAAGCATGCAAATGGATGGGTGGTCCAAAAATTCATCCGCAAACCGGCCACGGTTAATGAAGGTCAGCCTTACTTTAAGTATTTCAAGGCTGGAGTATCCCCAGTGTATTCGCTAAAGAAGGCGGAGGCACTAGGTTTTGTTTCCAACTGATTTTGCCCGGCTGATTTTTGGAATCTTGGATCGACCTCAACTTCCTCGCTCACTTTGCTGAGAAAAGAATTCGCAGCATTTACCCTGACCCGAGCTCAAAACACCACAAGTCTTGAAAACACCAAGTTTTTTTGAACATTCCTTATATATTATCATATATTATATAAATTAAAC